GCCTTTCATGACCAACAGAATGCCCCTTAGTACTCTTTAACTCACAAGTAAATCTTATACTTACTTGTACCTCTATGATAGGAAATTAGTCGCTTATCCTCAAAATTACACTAAAGCTAACTCTAATGCAATATAGGGCCAACCCTAGGTCATCTCCCAATGAATGGTTTTAAGTCTAATTAAAAGTTATCTAGTAAAATAAATCAACCAAAGTTTGTAGGAATTTAGTTACCTAGCTAATTATCTAAACTAATTACCTAATGTGCAAGTAATTAAAATGCTAGTGAAAGTGAGTGAAATGAACTTCCCTTTTCACAATAATGGAACCCTAGAGATTAGTTGATTTTGGATTCATTATCTTTTCATGATTAGGCTAAGTTTAGGTTCCCTTTCCTCTTGACTAAAGCTGTCATTACTTAAGAAAATTATCCAAAGCCAATTAACCTAATTAGCTAACCTCCCTAGGTCTTAGATTAAAGTCCCTAGTTCAATTAACCAATTGGTGAAGACATTAGCCAAGTGATTCACTCAAAATCCTCTCTCAACAGCCATGGTCAAACACATAAATTGAGCAACCACAAGATTATGTCAAGCTATTCAACAACACAAGCATTAACACCACAAGATTATGCAATATTAACACAAGAAATTCACTAATTGAAAAACACAAGATTATGTGCCAAACAAAGAGTGGCAAAATTCAGTCATGGCTGTCCAAGGAAGAAATTAAATGAAACAATCCTCTCTCTTTACATCAACATCAAATTTAAATTAGAATTTATAAGCTAAGATGATCAAACCCTAGATTAAGGAATCTAACCATCTAGTAAAAAGAGAAGAGGATAGGAAACAAAAGAACTTATCCAATTTAGAGCTCAAGACTCATCCTCCATCTTTATCTCTCTAGGATTCCACAAAGAAACTTAGCCAATCTTCATCTTCAAGAACCCTAGTGATTGCTTGTGAAGGCCAAACTCCATAGCTCTTGAATGATGGAAATGAGCTTCAATCCTTGTGAAAATGGAAGGGATGGAATGAAAATGAAGAGAGGAGAAGAATGGTATGAGTTTTGTGGAGGTTTGGTAGCTGAAAATGGAGGTTAGGGTGCTGGAAAATGAAGAACAAAAGAGAGAAAATGAAGAACGCTGTGAAGAAGAGAGAGAGAATGTGGAAGATGAATGAGATGAGTGTTGGATCCCATTTGGGGTTCAAAATGGCGTGCTTCTTGGTGTTTCCCATCAGCTGTAGCTTAATAAAAAAAATTTAAAATGTAAATGGGAGCCTTGTCACACTTGCAAGGTGGCAACTTCCTATTGGTTTGTAGATAATTCCAATGTGTGCCTAATTTCCCATGTGTCATCCTCATCATTTCAGTTGATTTAATCCCTCAAAATAATCATAATTCACGTGCAAACCATCAGCCATTGATCTCAAGGAGTGTTGACCTCAATTGCCCAATTGATACATAAGTCACATGCCACCTATGTCACATAAATCACATAATTCAATTAAATAGCATATGATATAATAAAATCTAATTCATGTCCAGAATTAAATTCATAATTAGAAGGTTTGCACGTGAATTCAAAATATACTCATAAATGGCCTTTCTAAAATCAAAATATCATCCCCACTCCCTTCTTTTGACATATCAAGCACATAGAAATTCACAGGAAATAATAGACCTTTAACACAAACCAACAAGTCTTCTACTACTCCATGTGGTCTTCTAACACTTCTATCCGCTAATTGGCATATCATAGGTATCTTATGCATGCAGTCAAGACTCAAGGCATGATAAATTAAAAGAGGCATAACATTAATGGCTGCACCTAAGTCTATCAATGTATGAGAAAAATGTGTGTTGCCAATCTTGCATGGAATTGTGAAGGAACCAAGGCCCTCACATTTTATAGGGAGTTGAGGCTTCATGATAGCACTCACAGATAAGGGTAATTGTACCCTTGCATTAGGCCTAAATTTTCTTTTATTTGTACAACATTCTTTCAAAAATTTGGCATACTTAGGAAAGTTCTTAACTACATCCATCAAGGGTACATTAACATGAATCTTGTGGAAGAAATCATATACCTCTTGATCAAATTATCCCTTTACTTGCTTAGGGACCACTTGTGCTTGTGGAAAAGGAAGCTTCTTCATAATCTCTTGACTTTACTTTACTTCTTCCTTCCTTGAACTCTCCTTTCTTGTTTCACTTTGCTTGGCCTCTCCCTTTTATTCCTTGCTAAACAACTCGGCCATAGTCCCCTTTTCCACCTTAGATAGTGGTTGCTCACATATGATCTCCTCAATGTTTTCATCCTCATCATCTCTATAAAAAGATGCATCATTAGGAGCAAAAGAAGAACTAGAAACATTAACATCAATTGAAGAATTTAAAGAGGGCTTCTCGACCTTCCCTTATCTTTTGTCTTCTTGCACTCTTTCTCTTAACTCCTTGCTACTCGTCAATGTGATAGCATTAAGATTAGCTTTAGGATTAGCAATGGTGTTGGATGGTAATGTAGAGGCTTGAGCATTGGCTACACTTAATTAGTTAGCAAGCATATTCATTTGAGAAGTAAGGGCATCAATTTTAGAGTTCATGTTCTCACACTTGTTACCCATACTCTCTACCTTATTCCCTAAGCCATCATACATGTTTTTATACAAGGAGTTCATTTCAATCAACTGCTTACATTACACATTCACATCATTAGAAGAGTTCGAATTAGAAGAACTCTCAATTGGAACAAGCCTCCTATCACTATAAGAATTAGATGAAGGTGCAAGAGAATTACCACTTGGATTGTAGCTTTGAGAAGAGCTACCTTGAGACAAATGAGGTGAAGGGTCACGGCCAAAGGTGTTTTGATAGGATCCTCTTTGTTGATTGTCTTGTAAAGCCATATTTGGATTTGAATAGGAGAAATTAGGATGGTCTCTCCATGAAGGGTTATAAGTATTAGAATAAGCTCCTTGCCCTTGCCTCCCACCATAGGATTGTTTTCCATTGTAGATAGCATTTACTTGTTCAAACTTAATAGGACAATTGCCTTCTACATGCATAGGTGAGTTACAAAATGTACAAGAATAAGGGACAAGTGCTTGAGAAGTACTTACATTGCTCACTTGAGATATTTGTGGAGCTAACATTCTCCCAATCTTGGCAGCTAGCAAGTCCACATATGAATCATTAAGAATTGAGGAACTTACCATATTCACATTTCTCTTTTCCCTTGTAGAGTATTAAGCACCACTTGAAGCCATCTTGTCAATTAGTTCCCAAACCTTTAAGGAAGTGAGGTTAATCAAGCATCCACCACTAGCGGCATCAATATTAACTTTGTCTCTTGGAATCAAGCCCTCATAGAAATATTGGACAAAATTCTCACTAGAAATTTGATAGTATGGACATTTAGCCAAAAGGCCTTAGAATCTAGTCCAATACTCATAGAGACTCTCATCCTCTCCTTGTTGGACCCCATAGATTTTCTTCTTCAAATTGGTGACCTTAGAATTTAGAAAGAATTTATCTAAGAAGAGTCTTCTTAGCTCGGCCTATGTGCTTACTTTCACATATGAAGGGTAGTTGAAATACCACTCCTTTGCTAAACCTTCAAAAGAAAATACAAAAGTCTTAGCTTGAACATCATCAACATTTACATGCATAGGCTTTATAGTATCACAAACCAATAGGAGAGTATGCAAAAACCTATGGCAATCCTCTCCCGGTAACCGATGAAATTTAGGCAATGCATTAATCAAAGAGGATTTAATTTCAAATTGAACATTAGTAGGAGGAACATATAAGCCATAAGAATTATCATGCCAATTAGGTTGAGTTAATTGCCTAATGTTCCTCTCCTCTCTAGGGTTATGCAAGCCTTCAAATTCATTATTAACATGGCCATCATCATACAAATTCTCATTCCCATTCCCATGGCCCTCATTATACACATGCTCATGTCCTAAGATACCTTCCATTGTTGAATTACAAACCAAATGAGAATCAAGAATAGGTTGTGATCTTCTCAATCTAGAAATAGTTCTTTCAATTTCTGGATCTAATTCAACAAAAGAGGTATGTTTTCTTCGGGTCATGCACTAATCAAACTCAAAAAAAAAATTAACAATGAACAAGCTAAACTAAAATACAAATCAACAAGAAACAATTCAAAACACACAAAAGCAAGAGAAATAATTTTTTTATTTTTTTTCTAATAAACTCAATAGCAACAAAATGAAAAAAAATAAAAAAAAAACCAAACAAGTAGAAAGAGAGTTAGAAATGCTCAATCAAGAAGCTTTGGCAATTCTGCAATTCGCACAGTAGGCTCTCTGGAGACAATGAATTTGTGAATTTTCTAGCAGCCAATCGACATGATAAATTCCCCTGACAATTTTGTGAGAAACATGATAGATATACAGAAAAATTATATAAAAATTTCAGATTACAAATCCTTTCCAATCGTTCCCAGAATTTTTCACAAGTTGGTCCACAGGTCTGGAGAAACAGGATTTCGTCCAGAAGACCTTCAGAGATTCTAGTAAACTCTCAAATAGGAAAATGAAAAAATTGAAGAAAATCTTAAACACAAGAAACAAAGATAAGACAGTGATAAGAAAAATGAAACTAAAATCAATCAATTTGAACACTGATAGGAAATTAGTCGCTTATCCTCAAAATTACACTAAAGCTAACCCTAATGCAATATAGGGCCAACCCTAGGTCATCTCCCAAGGAATGGTTTTAAGTCTAATTGAAAGTTATCTAGTGAAATAAATCAACCAAAGTTTGTAGGAATTTAGTTATCTATCTAATTATCTAAACTAATTACCTAATATGCAAGTAATTAAAATGCTAGTGAAAGTGAGTGAAATGAACTTCCCTTTTTACAATAATGGAACCCTAGAGATTAGTTGATTTTGGACTCAATATGCAAGTAATTATCTTTGTTTTACAATAACACAAGCATTAACACCACAAGATTATGCAATATTAACACAAGAAATTCACTAATTGAAAAACACAAGATTATGTGCCAAACAAAGAGTGGCAAAATTCAGTCATGGCTGTCCAAGGAAGAAATTAAATGAAACAATCCTCTCTCTTTACATCAACATCAAATTCAAATTAGAATTTATAAGCTAAGATGATTAGACCCTAGATTAAGGAATCTAACCATCTAGTAAAAAGAGAAGAGGATAGGAAACAAAAGAACTTAGCCAATTTGAAGCTCAAGACTCATCCTCCATCTTCATCTCTCTAGGATTCCACAAAGAAACTTAGCCAATCTTCATCTTCAAGAACCCTAGTGATTGCTTGTGAAGGCCAAACTCCATAGCTCTTGAATGATGGAAATGAGCTTCAATCCTTGTGAAAATGGAAGGGATGGAACGAAAATGAAGAGAGGAGAAGAATGGTATGAGTTTTGTGGAGGTTTGGTGGCTGAAAATGGAGGTTAGGGTGCTGGAAAATGAAGAACAAAAGAGAGAAAATGAAGAACACTATGAACAAGAGAGAGAGAATGTGGAAGATGAATGAGATATGTGTTGGATCCCATTTGGGACTTAAAATGGCGTGCTCCTTGGTGTCTCCCATCAGCTGAAGCTTAATTAAAATAAGGAAAAAGAAATTAAAATGTAAATGGGAGCCTTGTCACACTTGCAAGGTGGCAACTTCCTATTGGTTTGTAGATGATTCCAATGTGTGCCTAATTTCCCATGTGTCATCCACATCATTTTAGCTGATCTAATCCCTCAAAATAATCATAATTCACGTGCAAACCATCAGCCATTGTCCTCAAGGAGTGTTGACCTCAATTGCCCAATTGATGCACAAGTCACATGCCACCTATGTCACATAAATCACATAATTCAATTAAATAGCATATGATATAATAAAATCTAATTCATGTCCAGAATTAAATTCATAATTAGAAGGGAGAATTTATTAAATTAATCAAGTTTCAGGCTGCACAAAATTATATAAAAATTTTCACACAAAGGCAAACCAAAAACTAGGACAAACTAAGACACTTAAGAAAGTGTTGACTTTTTTATTTAATTACTCCCAAACTAAAATGAATTTTAAAAATATAATTTCACCATTCATCAACTGGACATAAAATGCACTTTGTCAATTTTTCTTGTACATTTTCTCAAAAGTTCATTTTTTGGACCAAAATGCCCCTAGTGCACTGATCTTAGAAACTTAGGCAAAGTTCCAAATCTAATGCAATGTGTGCACTTGAAGGTGATAAATCATTAATAAAATGGTCCTAATTGACAAATAAAAGTGGGTAACAAATGTGTTCTATCAATTCCCCCACACTTAGCTTTTGCACTCCGGGCAAAATCAAGTGAAAAAGGTCCCAAAAGAAACTATAAGACAAAGAAATAAAAGAAAAACATTGTTTCAAGTCACTAAAATACTAGCTCATGAACTTCTACAAATTATCAATCAATGTGGCAATAATTACGAAAGAATTATGCACATCACAAACAAACCCTTACCAAGAATCAATGTCAAAGAGTAAGCCTCTCTAGGTTAAGTGTTTGCTCTCATCACTCAAAGTGTATAAGGTATTAAATTTCACTCAAAATTTCTTAGGATAAACCCTACTATGAATTTGTAACCCTTCTACATCTCCATCACTAAATAGCACTTGCAATCAAGAATCAAATGGACTTTATTAGGTTGTAATATAAGTAATGAAAGGATGTCTAAGAAATGCATGTATATAAAAAAAAATAGGGTTAGCATCAAAATAATGCTAAATCAAGATATATCCCCTTAATATGCAAAGCATAACCTAACTCAATTGAGTGAACACCTTAACACAATGAGGATGGAAAGAAATGATAAAAAATAATAAAACAAATGGAATGGATGAGCTAGGCAACTTTTTATTTTTATTTTATTTTTTTTCTTTCTTTTCTTTTTTTTTCCTCTTCTTTTTTTTTCTTTTTCTAGCAACTTTATTTCTTTTCTTTTTGACTATATTTTTTTTTTCAAATCTATCTTTGTTGTTTTTTTTTTGGTTGCCTCTAACTCTTTGAAAACAATGGAAGTAATGGATAGAGAAATGATAATAAGCATCCACTCATTTGATCTAGGACATGCAATGAATATTAAAAAGACATATAAAAGTGTAACATGCATTCCTTGGGGAAAAATAGGGTGAATATTTTTTTTTTTTAAGAATCAAACCAAAGGCTCAAAGTGGCTAACAAAGGATAATAAATAATAATAGGTTGGCTATTTGGCTCTTGGCTATTTTTTATGAATGCCATCTCTCATCTCCTATCAAACAAGTGCAAGATATATGGTCTTAATTAAGAAGTGAAACAAATTCTAGACGGTAACATCACTAAGGAATTAATCACACATGAGTGTTTAGCCTCTTCCATGAATGGGTAATATGCCACTCTAATCCATTAATTCAAGGTAAAAGAATGTTCATTTCACACCTATTCAATCCTAAAAATTACCACATCTCAAGAATCAAAATATCCATTCAAGAGCTAGGTAATTAAGTAACCTCAAACAAAACAAAACAAAGAAATTTTTTTTTTTTGAATTTTTTTTTTTTTGCAAAACCAAACAAAACCAAACAAACAAAACAAAATGTTTATTTCTCTCCCCAACACTTAAATCATGCATTGTCCTCAATGTATGTATAGACTAGTGATAAAATAAGGTGAGATCAATAATGAATGCATAACAAAAGTGTGGTGCAGATATTTTTTTTTGTCAAACTAAAACACAAAACAAAGAAGTCAAATAAATCAAATAAACTCTAATTTTCCTACTAGGTTCATCTCCCCCACACTTGAACTATACCTATCATTAAATATATCAATTAAAGGAAGGTAAAAGCTCAAGGTTAGAGAGATACAACCTTATCATGGTGGTTCAAAAACATGTTGAGAGAAGTCCTCCTCCTTTTGAAGTGATTTGGCATCTTTGTAGAGCTTGCATAGGTGACCATTGATTTGCATAGTGGAACCCGTGGCTTTATTCAAGAGTTGCAAAACCCCATAGGGAAACACCTTGGTCACTAAATATGGTCCCTCCCACTTAGACTTCAACTTGGCATGCTTATGAATAAACCTTGTTTGGAACAAGAGGACTTGATCTCCTTCTTGGAACTTTTTCCTCAAGATTAGCTTGTCATGAAGGATCCTTGTTTTCTCCTTATAGATTCTAGAAGACTCATAGGCATCCAACCTAAGCTCCTCAAGTTCTTGCATTTGAAGAAATCTCTCCTTAGCCGAAAGATGGAAATCCAAGTTTAGTTTCTTGATGGCCCAATAGGCCCTATGCTCTATCTCCACAGGGAGGTGGCAAGCCTTTCCATACACCAATCGAAAAGGAGACATGCCAATGGGAGTCTTATAAGCGGTCCGATAAGCCCACAAAGCATCCTCCAAGTGTAAAGACCAATCCTTCCTATTTGTGTTCACCACCTTGGTTAGGATTTTCTTGACTTCTCTATTTGATACTTCGGCTTGGCCATTAGTTTGGGGATGATATGGTGTAGAGATTTTGTGATGCACTCCATATTTAGCCAAGAGAGCCTTCATCATCTTATTGCAAAAGTGGGATCCTTGGTCACTTACCAAGGCCTTAGGAACTCCATACCTACAAAAAATATTAGATTTGAGAAACTTCAAAACAATCTTAGCATCACAAGTTCTAGTAGGAATGGCTTCAATCCACTTTGAAACATAATCAACACCAAGTAATATGTACTCAAAACTAAAGGATGGTGGAAAGGGACCCATGAAGTCAATGCCCCAAACATCAAAAATCTCACAAAATAAAATGGGTTGTTGAGGCATTTCATGTCTCTTACCCCAACTACTAACCTTTTGACATTTCAAGCATGCTTTACAAAATTCATAAGAGTCTTTAAACAAGCTAGGCCAATACAATCCACAATCTAAAACCTTCCTAGCTGTCTTATTTGAGCTAAAATGACCACCACATGCATGAGAGTGACAAAATTCAAGAACAGAAGGCACATCAACATCATCAACACACCTCCTAATCACTTTATCACTACAAATCTTCCACATCAAAGGTGGTTCCCAAATGTAAAATCTAGACTCTCTTTTCAATTTTTCAATGGCAAAACGTGAAGCACAAGGAGGCAAGACTCTACACTCAATATAGTTAGCAAAAGAGGCATACCATGGAGGCTTAGATGAAATGGCACACAATGCCTCATCAGGAAATGAATCACAAGGAATAGTAGGGTTAGAGTTTACCATAGTAGCTTTTAAATGAGGTAGTCTAGACAAATGATCCGCTACTTGATTGGTAGAACCACTCCTATCCCTTATCTCCACATCAAATTCTTGCATTAAGATCACCCATCGAATCAAGCGAGGCTTAGAATCTGTCTTCTTAAACAAGTACCTCACAGCAGCATGGTCAGTGTACACAACAACTTTAGAGTTAAGAAGATATGATCTAAATTTATCAAGTGCAAAAACAATAGCAAACAACTCTTTCTCAGTTGTGGTGTAATTAACCTGAGCTGAATCTAGGGTCCTAGATGCATAAGCAATCACATATGATAACTTGCCCTCTCTTTGACCAAGCATAGCTCCCACAGCAAAATTAGAAGCATCACATGACAACTCAAAAGGTAAAGACCAATTTGGGGCTTTAAGAATGGGAGGGGAAATGAGCATGCTTTTCAAAGTGTCAAAACTCCTTTTGCAAGCATCATCAAAAACAAAATCAACATCTTTTTGTAAGAGTTTAGACATAGGCAAAGCAATTTCACTAAACCCCTTTATAAATCTCCTATAAAAGCCTGCATGTCCCAAAAATGATCTCAAATCTTTCAAACAAACAGGATATGGCAAAGAAGCAATCACATCTACTTTGGCCTTATCCACCTCTATGCCATTGGAAGAAATCAAATGGCCTAAAACAATTCCTTTATCTACCATGAAATGGCATTTTTCAAAGTTAAGCACAAGCTTCTTTTCAATGCACCTACCAAGCACTTTATCTAAAGAATGCAAGCATGAATCAAAGGACTCACCATACACAGTAAAATCATCCATAAAGACTTCCATGCAATGTTCAATAAAATCACAAAATATGGACATCATGCATCTTTGAAAAGTACCAGGTGCATTGCAAAGACCAAAAGGCATCCTCCTATAGGCAAATGTACCAAAGGGGCATGTAAAGGTAGTCTTATCTTGGTCACTAGGAGCTATAGGAATCTGAAAATACCCACTAAACCCATCTAGGAAGCAATAATGGGACTTGGAAGCCAATCTCTCAAGCATTTGATCAATAAAAGGCAAAGGAAAATGGTCCTTCCTAGTCACATTATTGAGCTTCCTATAGTCTATGCACACTCTCCAAGCATTTTGAACTCTAGTTGGAACAAGCTCTCCTTTCTCATTTTTTACCACAGTAATCCCCCCTTTCTTAGGTACAACTTGGGTTGGAGACACCCACTCACTGTCAGCTATAGGATAGATGATCCCAGCACTAAGTAGCTTAACAACCTCTTTCTTTACCACATCTAAAATCAATGGGTTAAGTCTCCTTTGTGGTTGCCTAATGGGCTTAGCATTGTCCTCAAGAAAAATTTTATGTGTGCACACAATAGGGTCAATACCAGGAATGTCAGCCAAAGTCCAACCAATAGCATGTATGTTCTTTCTCAACACATCAAGTAATGCATTTTCTTCCTCAAGAGATAAAGAGTTAGAAATTATTACCGGAAGCTTCTCATTCTCAATGAGATATGCATACTTGAGATTGGATGGTAAAGGCTTCAACTCCAAGGTAGGTGGCTCTACACAAGAGGGAATGAGCTTCTTCAAGTCTAATTTGGTGGAATATTCCATGGTACTATCTTGTCTTTTAGGCTTGTCACTTGTTTTTGATTTCTCCTCTTCTTTCTTTACAGCCTCCCCCTTTTCTTGCAACTTGTCCTCAAGTGCTTGGACTTGAGCCACGGCCTCGACATGTGAAAGTGTAGAATTTTCCTCCAATAGCTTGGGAATCCTAAGAACATCAAGCTCGAGTAGAGAAAAACTCATAGATTCGGCCTTAATGGCTTTAGTACCTACAACACAAGAAGATATACCCTTCTCAAGCATTTCAAGATCAAGCATAGGAGATATTTTAAACAAATCATGAGAAGAAGTAGTTGCATCATTCAAGCATGCATCAATCTCTAAACAAATAGGACAACTACATCCATCAATACATGTAGTAGTAACAAGAGACAAATCATCATCAACATGTGAGAAAGAATCAAGCATGTGAGACTCACAAGCATCATGAAGCAATAACTCAATGGAACTTACACCTAACAAAGAATAATCCTCAAAAGGATGTTTCATTGCTTCATATATATTAAAAATAACATGATCCTCTCCACATTTCAAAATCAAACTACCTTTTTCCATGTCAATCAATGTACGGGCAGTCCTCATAAATGGCCTTCCTAAAATCAAAATATCATCCCCACTCCCTTCTTTTGACATATCAAGCACATAGAAATCCACAGGAAATAATAGACCTTTAACACAAACCAACAAGTCTTCTACTACTCCATGTGGTCTTCTAACACTTCTATCCGCTAATTGGCATATCATAGGTGTCTTATGCATGCAATCAAGACTCAAGGCATGATAAATTGAAAGAGGCATAACATTAATGGCTGCACCTAAGTCTATCAATGCATGAGAAAAATGTGTGTTGCCAATCTTGCATGGAATTGTGAAGGAACCGGGGTCTTCACATTTTATAGGGAGTTGAGGCTTCATGATAGCACTCACAGATGAGGGTAATTGTACCCTTGCATTAGGCCTAAATTTTCTTTTATTTGTACAACAATCTTTCAAAAATTTGGCATACTTAGGAAAGTTCTTAACTACATCCATCAAGGGTACATTAACATGAATCTTGTGGAAGAAATCATATACCTCTTGATCAAATTGTCCCTTTACTTGCTTAGGGACCACTTGTGCTTGTGGAAAAGGAAGCTTCTTCATAATCTCTTGACTTTGCTTTCCTTCTTCCTTCCTTGAACTCTCCTTTCTTGTTTCACTTTGCTCGGCCTCTCCCTCTTTTTCCTTACTAAACAACTCGGCCATAGTCCCCTTTTCCACCTTAGATGGTGGTTGCTCACATATGATCTCCTCAATGTTTTCATCCTCATCATCTCTACAAAAAGATGCATCATTAGGAGCAAAAGAAGAACTAGAAACATTAACATCAATTGAAGAATTTAAAGAGGGCTTCTCGGCCTTCCCTTGTCTTTTGTCTTCTTGTACTCTTTCTCCAACTCCTTGCCACTCCTCAATGTGATAGCATTAAGATTAGCTTTAGGATTAGCAACGGTGTTGGATGGTAATGTAGAGGCTTGAGCATTGGCTGCACTTAATTGGTTAGCAAGCATATTCATTTGAGAAGTAAGGGCATCAATTTTAGAGTTCATGTCTCACACTTGTTACCCATACTCTCTACCTTGTTCCCTAAGCCATCATACATGTTTTATACAAAGAGTTCATTTCAATCAACTGCTTACGTAACACATTCACATCATTAGAAGAGTTCGAATTAGAAGAACTCTCAATTGGAACAAGCCTCCTATCACTATAAGAATTAGAAGAAGGTGTAAGAGAATTACCACTTGGATTGTAGCTTTGAGAAGAGCTACCTTGAGACAAATGAGGTGGAGGGTCACGGCCAAAGGTGTTTTGATAGGATCCTCTTTGTTGATTGTCTTGTAAAGCCACATTTGGATTTGAATAGGAGAAATTAGGATGGTCTCTCCATGAAGGGTTGTAAGTATTAGAATAAGCTCCTTGCCCTTGCCTCCCACCATAGGATTGTTTTCCATTGTAGATAGCATTTACTTGTTCAAACTTAATAGGACAATTGCTTTCTACATGCATAGGTGAGTCACAAAAAGTACAAGAATAAGGGACAAGTGCTTGAGAAGTACTTACATTGCTCACTTGAGATATTTGTGGAGCCAACATTCTCCCAATCTTGGCAGCTAGCAAGTCCACATATGAATCATTAAGAACTGAGGAACCTACCATATTCACATTTCTCTTTTCCCTTGTAGAGTATTGAGCACCACTTGAAGCCATCTTGTCAATTAGTTCCCAAGCCTTTAAGGAAGTGAGGTCAATCAAGCATCCACCACTAGCGGCATCAATGTTAACTTTGTCTCTTGGAATCAAGCCCTCATAGAAATATTGGACTAAATTCTCACTAGAAATTTGATGGTGTGGGCATTTAGCCAAAAGGCCTTGGAATCTAGTCCAATACTCATAGAGACTCTCATCCTCTCCTTGTTGGACCCCATAGATTTGCTTTCTCAAATTGGTGACCTTGGAATTTGGAAAGAATTTATCTAAGAAGAGTCTTCTTAGCTCAGCCCATGTGCTCACTTTCACATAAGAAGGGTAGTTGAAATACCATTCCTTTGCTAAACCTTCAAGAGAAAATACAAAAGCCTTAGCTTGAACATCATCAACATTTACATGCATAGGCTTCATAGTATCACAAACCAATAGGAAAGTATGCAAAAACCTATGACAATCCTCTCCTGGTAACCCATGAAATTTAGGCAATGCATTAATCAAGGAGGATTTAATTTCAAATTGAACATTAGTAGGAGGAACATATAAGCCATAAGGATTATCATGCCAATTAGGTTGAGTTAATTGCCTAATGCTCCTCTCCTCTCTAGGGTTATGCAAGCCTTCAAATTCATTATTAACATGGCCATCATCATGCAAATTCTCATTCCCATTCCCATGGCCCTCATTATGCACATGCTCATGTCCTAAGATACCTTCCATTGTTGAATTACAAACCAAATGAGAATCAAGAATAGGTTGTGATCTTCTCAATCTAGAAATAGTCCTTTCAATTTCTGGATCTAATTCAACAAAAGAGGTATGTTTTCTTCGGGTCATGCACTAATCAAGCTCAAGAAAATTAAGAACAAAGAACAAGCTAAACTAAAATGCAAATCAACATGAAACAATTCAAAACACACAAAAGCAAGAGAAATATTTTTTTTTTATTTTTTTTATTAAACTCAATAGCAACAAAATGAAAAAAAAATAACACCAAACAAGTAGAAAGAGAGTTAGAAATGCTCAATCAAGAAGCTTTGGCAATTCTGGAATTCGCACAGTAGGCTCTCTGGAGACAGTGAACTTGTGAATTTTCTATCAGCAAATCCACATGATAAATTCCCCTGAAACTTTTATGAGAAACACAAGAGATATACAGGAAATTATATAAAACTTTTAGATTAAAAATCCTGCCCAATCGTTCCCAGAATTTTTCACAAGTTGGTCCTCAAGTCTGGAGAAACAGGATTTCGTCCAGAAGACCTTCAGAGCTTCTAACAAACTTTCAAATAGGAAAATGGAAAAATTGAAGAAAATCCTAAACACAAGAAACAAAGATAAGACAGCGATAAGAAAAATGAAACTGGAATCAATCAATTTGAACGCACAAAGAGGAAGATATGCTAACTCAAAATTGAAACAGGGTTTTGGGAATCCTCTGTAATGGCTCCCTGGACCTTGTTAGATTGTAAAATTTCCACAGGACACTTCCCACGTCCAAAATTGACCAAACCAATTTTAAAGTGAAGCTAGGATATAGAGCTTTCAATGAAATAAATTTCAAGTTCAAATTCCCTCAGACTCATTCCCAGTTAATTTTTCAATTTCAGACAGAGACACTAGAAACAGAGTATTTTCAGCTCTACACCAAACCAACGAAAATTGCATTAATTTTTTTTTCTTTTTCAAAACAGAATAAAAACACTCAAAACACAAAAAAAACACTAAACAAAACACAAAACACAAATTTTTATAATTTTTCAAAAAATTTTCAGGAACACTAAAAATATAAATTAAGTACTAAACAACCTTAGAATTAAACTTAAACCATTCCCCGGCAACGGCGCCAAAATTTTGATAGGAAATTAGTCGCTTATCCTCAAAATTACACTAAAGCTAACCCTAATGCAATATAGGGCCAACCCTAGGTCATCTCCCAAGGAATGGTTTTAAGTCTAATTGAAAGTTATCTAGTGAAATAAATCAACCAAAGTTTGTAGGAATTTAGTTATCTAGCTAATTATCTAAACTAATTACCTATATGCAAGTAATTAAAATGCTAGTGAAAGTGAGTGAAATGAACTTCCCTTTTTACAATAATGGAACCCTAGAGATTAGTTGATTTTGGACTCATTATCTTCTCATGATTAGGCTAAGTTTAGCTTCCCTTTCCTCTTGACTAAAGCTGTCATGACTTAAGAAAATTATCCTAAGCCAATTAACCTAATTAGCTAACCTCCCTAGGTCTTAGATTAAAGTCCCTAGTTCAATTAACCAATTGGTGAAGACATTAGCCAAGTGATTCACTCAAAATCCTCTCTCAACAGCCATGGTCAAACACATAAATTGAGCAACCACAAGATTATGTCAAGCTACTCAACAACACAAGCATTAACACCACA